CTCTTCGACCGCCCGTCCTCGCTCAACGCAAGACAGCAAGGTAGGCAGACGAGTGATTCGGTGCTTACCTATGCCGAAGGACCCTCTTCAGCTATAAATGATTCGCGTACTATTTATGTCATCAGCTGTCCGTCTATCATGCTGGGCGCGCGCTGTTCGAAACCATGTCGTAGAATTGTAAAATTTCGGAAAAATTTAAACCGATATAAATCATGAGGAAAAATGTACAAATCACTTCTTCGTAAAATCTTTAATTAGAATTCGAGTAAGTAACTGAAGAAATTAATTTCGCGTGAGACTAAGCATAATGTGTAATGTAAAAAATCGAGGCATAAAAATTTATAAAATCATATTACGAGAGAAACTTAATTTTGCAATCCTCTCCTTTATACAAAAAGAACCTACTTGCAATTCGATGCATAAGGGTTTCTCTGAAGTTATTTAATTTCTATAAATTCAAATCCTATGGACAAATGTTAAAAAAGTTGATTCGTTTCATGAAGTGTAATATAATTACGAACAATTTTTAAAATAATAATTAACGAATAATATTTCTTAATATAATTAACGAATATAATCGTTTGACTTAATTCCCGAGAAATTGCTGAATTAATTGCTTGCGGCAAAAATCCGTAAAATAAGGTACAATTCTCGTGGTCTCGGTAAAAACGAAAAAGGTTGCGCTCTAAAAACACATGGAAAATAAACAAGTAAAACATAAAAACTTCGTCCTGAGTCAGGGACAGATGCCTTGCTCGCGGTTTAACTCGATGCTGAATTTTTCTATCCAAAGATTTTTAGTATGCTATATTTAAAAACGAATTATAATACAGCCACATGAAAATGGATCTGTAATTATATTTATTACATATGTACACTTGTACAAATTTTTAACCCTCTAAAATTTCGTTTGTAAGATATAATGATTAACACTTAATTACAACAAAGTGCAAACTTTATATTGCTTATCTAATTACACAGAATTTATTTAAACAAATATTATTCAAAAATTAAACGATAATACGATTTGAAATTTGTATTGTTTTATAAAGCCTTGATTTAATTATACCAGAAATAGGTGAAAGTTTGAGAGAAGATCGCATTTCTTAACTTTCTTATCTTTATTTGTAATTAACATCTGAATAAGTTAACTAATTATATGGGATTAGAATATGCTGAAAATTTTATAGAAACTAATTATCATAGTTCTGAGCTATAATTAGGTAAACCGGTGAAAACACAATTTTTACATGTTTCCATGCTTTCAGTTTTAAAGAGCGTTGGTTCACACATTTTTGCTCTTCATGGTATGTACGAAAAGCAAAAATTCGTTACACATTTAAAAACTTCTTTTTAATTAAATAGTTTTGCATGCAACTTACCAAAAAGAGAAGACGATCCACTCCACGAACTGCAGTCTATCGACTTTCTTTCACTTCCACACGACGGTTTATTCACCTAACCGAGCAATGGCAAAATGATCGAACTACATCTCTGCTCCTAACCAGCACGTGCTCCTAGTTTTTTTATCTTAAGGGTGGTTCATGCGAGTTCAGTCATGGAATATTTAAAAATCAAACTTTCTATGTACTTAAATCAATGCTTTATAAAACAATAAAAATTTCAAGTCATATTATCATTTACTTTATACAGTATTTGTTGAAAATTGGATGTAATTGGATTAAATAAAAGATGTAGATGTCGCCTACTGTGTCGATACTGTGTCGTAATTAAATGTTAATAATCATTTCTCAGAAACGAAATTTAAAAGACTTGAGTAATAAATATAATTTTAAATATTCTCATACAGCCGTATTATAATTTGTTTTTTAAATATAGCACATTACAAATGTTAGGAAAATCCAGTGCCGAGTTAAACCTCGTCCAAGGCAACTGTCTAATCACTCTGAACGAGGCTTTAAATGTTTTCGATGTTTTCATAGAGCCACCTTTCTTTTTCTTACCGAGGTCGACGGGACTATGGCTCGAATTTATAGTCGATTCTCGCACTTGACACTCAGCACTCAAGTGCGTCCCACCAATGTACAC